CAAAGTCCTTTTTTAGCTTCCGACTGTACTGATGTCCATCTGGGAATTCTTAGAAGGACCCTGAGCTCCCCTTGAGCTCACTGTGGGATGGGAGGGAAGCAAGGCATTGTGAAAATCAGAGCCTCCACAGTCCGTGAGGAGAGGGTAGCACTGGACAGGGTGAACGATCGTGTGTAGGGTAGCTAACGTTTCCAGGCTGTGAGCAGAGCGGTAGTTCTGGCCCTGGGTATTAAATAAATATGCGTGCAGTTTCCCTAGTTTCCATCACGTGCAATTACAGGGACTTCATGGTGGCCCACCAAGTCAAAAAGAAAGTTAATTGGAATAAGTTTTTTAAGGTAAAACACTTAACCTTGATTTAATGCAACAATTTGATTCTGCTGTTTTTAGAGCTCATGATGTAAACAAAAGTCTTAGAATTATTTTTTAAAAAATCACTGTAAGTAGGGTCATCTCTCCTCAAAGCCTCCACAGTTTCACAGGAGCTCCCTTTGCTATCAGTCCAAAGGGATTTTGCCTTGGCTTTTCATTTCAGAGGGATGTAATAGCATTTTCCTCTATTTTGGTCACAATGTCACTATATAGTTATCTCCTAGTGTTCTCTTTTGTTTTTCTTCCAGAGTGAAAGAATTGAGAAAGGCCAAGGAACTTGAAGACATACAGCAGCATCCCTTAGCAATGTGACATTGCTTCTCAGACTGTTTTCCTTTCTGTTTTTAGCAGAGACATGCAACAAAAACAACAGACGCGCACATGTACACACACCACACACACACACGCACACACGCACACACACACACACACACACACAATCCCTCTGCAGTTTTGGGGAGAACAGCTGCAGGATTTTAACAGGAATGTTTTGGTCATTGCATTTGCACTTTCATGGACAACTTTTAATTTGATCAGCAAGACATCTTGGAACTCAATCTTCTGTTGGATCATAGGAAAACAAGACACCAGGAGGAATTGAAAGGGGCTTCTCTTCTTAGGAAGAAGCCGTTTTCCTTCTCATATAGGGCTGTATTCAAACATCGTGTGGAACTGTACAAATATTTATACCAAAAATATAGATAAGAAGAGGTGGGGATGCGCTAGCGACAAGGAGGAAGCCGTACCTGCACCTGTGGTGGTTCCCAAGACGCTGAATCTGCGGGCTGGATTCTCAAGGGAGGGCTTAGACCATACAAATCGTCATTGGGTCCGTGTGTTCTCATCTCCTTCACTGGTTCTGATTTTATGTTTGTTCCTTTGTTTTAATCTCTACAGCACACTTAATGCAACTTTTAAAATCTGCAGGTTTTTCGTGTCTTGTGGAAATTTGCAGAGGGGCGGGTGTGTAGTAAACGGGTAATGCATGGGAGATAATGAAAAGCAGCTTACAGAGTTTAAATTATTTTCATGTCCCTGCCACCACCCAAGAGCCTGCGAGGATACTAATCATCTCGTCCCTTTTCTCATGTTCAGCACTTTAATTTTTTGCCTTACTTTCATGTGCAATGAGAATTAAGAATTGGTAAAGCATGTAGCCTTTTTTAGTAACCTTGGAAACTCATGATTCCAGGGAATCATAAACCTTGCCTGGACATTTGCCACCTAAACGACCAGTGTGGTGCTGCGTTCTGGCCAGTAAATTCCATATTTTTGGCTCTATCTCATCCAAACAGCGGTTTCTGTGTGTATATATAGAAGGTAGAAACGAAAAGTGAGAAAATATTTGAAAGGGATTATATTAATTGCTAAATATTTTATTCACAAAGGTCAATAACATGGCAAGATAAAATTATTTGTATAGTTTTGTCTGAATGAGGGAGAAAAATGTGGATGTATTGTTTGTATATATTGTATATATTAAAACAGAGATACGTGCATGAAAACAAGAAAAAGAAATGAACAAAAGCAAAGCATTAGTGGCTATGGTCTGTAAAATGAAACAAAAAAACTTTATTTCACTATAAGAGTACTTTATTTTAAATGTTCTTTAGAAGAACATTTTGCTAAAGCATGATTAAACTGCAAAAAAAAAGAGCTACTGTATTTAGACTTAGGAACAAAGGCAGAGTAACATTACTTAAAAAAGGATATGTTTACATTTAATTTTTGGCTACCAGGAGTTTAGTTTATTTAAAAATTTTTTTGCCAATGGTGCCAAGTAATGTGAATGCTAATACTGCTTAAGAAAATTAAGTTACTTTTGCAAAACAGATAATCACAAGGTGAATCCTTATATAGCTTAACACCATCCACTCACTCCAACGAAGAACACTTAGAATGACCAGAACCTGATAAAAGAAATAGTATGAAGATAGAAAAATGTCATGTTTTCATACCTCCTGCTGGAAATCGGAAACTGTAATTAAATTGTACAAAAAATGGAAGTGAAAAAGACAGACTGGCCTTGTAGGGATGTCATGGTGTATTACTATTTCCACATAATGAGGAGCCAAAGAAATCTGATGCTTTTAAAAATTAAACCACCAATGTCAAATTGAAAGTATAAAGTTTGCATTTGCTGATGCCAGTTTAAAATCCCCAGGTAAGGTTTGAGGATCCGTTGGTGTGAAGCTGAGATGTTTTCGCTTGGTTCTGGCTGCCAACTGTGAGTTAAAACTCAAGGCTTGTTGTGAAGCCTAAAAATATTCACAAATAAGCTTTTAAACTGGTGTCTTCAGAAGGAAGGTAGATACAAAAAGATTGCGGTAAAAACTGGGGTCAGTGCTCTTGGTGCCTTTTCTATAATTGTACTTGTTTTTTAATTACTTCCTTTCACTGCCAACCTCGAATTCCTGTACAGTATATGTCTTTCTGCTTGTGATCAGCTTTGACAACGGTGACAGCCCCACAACTAGCAGCCACCTGTACATTTGTAAACTGACCTGACTCAATTTTGTTTCTAAATGTGTGGGTTATGTTGCAGCTGTTGCATCCCCCGCCCCCCAAATGCCCATTATTTTACACAATTTGACCTGTAGGAGGACACTTGAATAAGTTACCAACACACAACTGCATTCATAACTGGGAACAGAAGGTGAAAGCCAGCTCTTTCAGAATATCCTGTATTAATAATGAATTTGGATACATTTGTTCCATTTATTATGGTACTCATAACCAGTCTTTTGACCAGAGTAATGACCTCAGTGGATTTGCTTTAACCCTCATATTTATTTATTTATTTATTTATTTATTTATTAACATTTCACATGCTACATGCTTAGCTGACTAAGAAAATTCTGGATGATAAGAGACTTAAATAGAATTAGGAAGTTCTTATGGAAGGGACAGTAAGTAGGTTCAAAACCTACCAATATAACTGTGAATCCTAGGTGAGGTAAAAATGTACTTCCACTGAAACAAAGCATTTCTGACCGCTTTTTCTTGGTTGCAAATCTTAATTTCGAATATACGATGATAGGTAAGCGCAGCTTTCTTGGATAATCTGAATTCCCAAGTGCCAGGAGTAGGATTTCATTATAAAATTAATAGCTAACCTTATTCTGTCTCCTGAAGATTTAATTGCTATTCTTGTTACCCATTCAAAATCAGCTGTACTGTGTGAACAAAATAAAGACAATAACACGAACCCCTCTCTGGCTGCACGGTCGCTTATGGCAGTTCCACACAGTAGTTGGCGCCCAATGGGGGGTCCCTGAGACTTGCATGTAAAACTAGTCTAGATGTCTTCTTTTTTGTAAGTTTTATTTTTGTAATTGTGCATGTAAAGCATCATTGAACCAATGGATCTGTTGAAGAACTCAGCTGCTGGAAACCATGCAAAATGTTTTGAATTGCCCTTAAAATATGGAAAATGTTTTCTGAATGCTTTATATTCTTTCTGCTGTAAATTAAAAATGAAGAAAATTTCCCCATACTATCTGTGTGTTTTGCTTTAACTTTCTACTGAACCCCAACGTGTTAAGCACACGTTAAAAAAACGGTGTAATGATTGTATTTCCTTCTGATTCAGGTAACAGTGTTTTGACACCGAATATATCCACCAAAGAGAACATAGAAGAGAACTTGCTACCTATCTGTGCAACCCTCTCAACACATCAATCATTTGTCTTAAATGCAGTTACTTCTACCTTTTCAGTTAAAATCCTGAAGTGTTTTTAACGGGAGTATTCCAGCTGACTCCCTCTAGCCTGCTTTTCTAAGTATTTTGTCCTTTCTGCCGGTCTCCTTCACTGCAGACAGAGCCTTTTGTATCTCTAGGAGACCGTCCCCATCCATTTGAAAATCGCCAAGTTCTGCATGACTGAGCTCCCCAACACCGTCCGCAGTGGGTTCTACAGCCCCTGGTTTAAAAGACCTCTGACTTGCTCACTTGTGCCCACTCTCCACCCAGTGGTGGTCTCTGCACACTGTCATGTGCCATACTTGTTTATGGTGTTCATTCCTTGCCTGGAAAATTATGTTACTCAACTCGGACCTCTGTGGCTCTCTTGTTACAGTTAATATTTCTCACTTTATTTCCAGTTCAAAAAGACAGTTTGGTATTTACTTTTCACTTGTCAAGGAGAAGACCGATTGACCCCTTTAACCAGTGAGTTTCGCTTGAGCGACTTCCTCCATAGGATAGTTCACTGACAAGCGCTTTATAAAGTAACCCCACCCAGGACTAGTCTGTGTTAGGGGCTGCTGGACTACACAGATGGAGCAACTAGTCTAATGCCGAGGCGCCCTTTGCCAAATTGTAGTACAATCCGTGCAATGACAAATCCTTGTGTCCCTGGTGAAAAAGTAAAAGGGAACCTGATTCACCCGAAACCTGTGATAAGTACTCCTGAAAGAATTTTCATTTCACAACTTGATTGGAAAAACACGGGTGTTTCCCACGACCACTAGGGTAAGCGGGGCCACTAAGCATTAGTGCGTAAGCTACCCCTTAATATCAGGCCGATAGACTTGGTCCACTGGCCCCAGAGACGTCAGGCGAAGGCCCCACCCCCGTCGGTCCCCGTTGGAGCGCCTCGCCAGGCCCCGCCCACTTCCGGCGCGCCCTCGGCCTCCGAGCTCGCCCCGCCCACTCCCGCCGGGCCCTGCCCAGTGACGTCACCGCGGCGCCACCTCCCTCGCCTAGGTTGTCTGCTGCAGAGCTCAGGTCCTCAGCCGCCGTTGTCGCCGCCACCGCCAAAATGTGAGTGATGCGACGTGACCCGGGACGGCCTGTAGCCCCGGAGGCGGCGCCCCATGCTTTGGTCCCTCTCCTGGCCGGGTGGCGGCGCCCGCCCGCCGCTCAGACGCGGGCCGCCAGCGCACGCGCATGCGCGCCGTGGTCGTGGCGGGGGCCTCAGGGTTGGCGTGGGCCGGGGTTCGGGCCAAGACTCCGGGACTTAGCCTTGCGTTGCGAGGGCCTCGCGGCCGGGCGGCTGCTTCCCGGAGGGAGCGCCCCACTCGGCTGCCGGAGCTTCCCCGAGGTCTTTGTGGTGGCTCGCGGGTCCGGAAGTACAGGGAATGGACCTGGCCGCACCCAGCAATCAGAGTGAATCTGACACTACCCAGAGCCCGGGCTTCCCCCATCCACCCAGGGCACCTGTGCTTGGAAAATACCTTGGCCTCGGGCCATGGCTCTCATCTGGAGCGGAAGCATTGTTACAGTAGCCCTAGAATCCCAGGGGTGACATTAAGAGTAACAAGTACCCAGTGTCCCCCTACAAGCTGCTCAATTCTCATCTATCGAGGAAACTTCAGGTTTTCTAGAGGAACTAGGTGGAAACAACAATTGGAAGGTACTTGCTGAGGCTGCAGTGCCAACAAACGGATCACAGTTCCTAAAACCTTACCACCTGAGGAATTAGGGCCGACTGTGCCCATCCGGATGCATTAACTTTGTAAATCTCACATTATTCACCTATAAAGTGGGGGGAGTGGGGTATTGCCTTTCAGAGCGTTCTGAGAATTCAGCGAGAGAAAGCGTGTGAAGGGCGTAGCCTTAAGAGATGGCCCTAAATAGAATACTGTCTGCTAGACCCAAGGAAAGCTGTCGGATCTGCTGTATTCCTGACCCCTGGTCAATGACAGAGTGTTAATTTAAAATCACTGTTGACTCAGTGAATCAGTGACTCCTGTGTAAGCAAGGCGCATACGAGTACTGTCTTGGATACAGAGAAGAGAATTCTGAAACCCAGGAGCATGTGTGACGGGACACAAGACCTTTATCCTTGAAAAATCAAGCGACGCCAGCCAAGTCATGGGAGAAGTGAGGAGTCAAGTCAGAGTGGCTATGAAAGATCTGCCTGGAAGCAATAAAAGTTTCAACGAAGACTGTAAGAGAAGACTGAGAGGAGCATTGCTTCTACTTGCATCTCATGCACACTACGCCGTCGCTGCATCCCTAACCCAGAATCTTTCTCTATACTGGAAAAAGGCCATGCTACAATTCTTCATAACTATAAAACAGTTCTTGGCACAATATAATGTTTGTCTCCATTTAATGTTTAATGTCTCCATTAAAACAATTGGAAAGTAGAGTTTACCCATCCTGGGATCAGGTGCTTCAGCCATACAAAGTAATCTTTTTATATCTTCATGGTGGTCACTTTATCATGTGGGACAATCTTGGAAATTATGGAAGGATTATGACAGATTCTGCTAGAACCATTATTATTCTAAGGACAAGATTTTGGGAGGAGGAGCTTTAGTTCTGATACATGAGATCTTTAATGTTTAATATCTTTGTTTTCGGAAGTATATTTGCAACCCTGATTGGTTCACATTTGTGCCTCTGTACATTTCAGGTCTGCCGGATCAAGTGCTGCCACTGGCAGCAACCGAAGACTTCAGCAGACACAAAATCAAGTAGAGGAGGTATTGCTCTAAGATTCTAAAGCAGGAAGAAAGCTTAAAAAAATACAAACATGTGAATGTAAATTTTGATAGTATTCATAACTGTAATAAAATCTGTCTCCTGATGTTTTAGAAGCCCTAATCTAAGCAAAAGTCAGGGTCCCCAGATTTCATGTTTATTTTTCTGCAACAGAATCATATAGCTAAAACACAAACACAAAAAACATTCCCCAAGAACCACTTCATAAAATAGGATAATAAAGTTTTAAGGGTTAGGGATAAAGGCTGTGCAAGCCAGAAATGAGTCCTTGCATGAGATACTTTTCCAGAACATGTTGTCCTGCAGCTTGACTTCTTAGTCACCTCACCTGAGCAACTCTGGAAAACATTTACCGCCAAGGTTGCTCTGAGGTGCACAGGCAGATGTTGATAAGCTGCTGCAGCCCAACAAATCTGTATTTATAGAATTCTTGAGGACTTTTTGTTCTGCCCTGTATGTGCAAAACTAAAAACTTTTTAGTTTAGACCAATATTTCTCTGTTGCTAAAAGCAGTCACTGTCTGCACTTAGCTACACTAAAAACTAGAGTTAATAGATACCATTGTTAAATCATCCAGTAATGCTTTGATTGGGTATTTTGTTATAAACTTAATTCTCACAATTTTAAATTTTTACAGTGAAAACCATTCTAAATCTGTCCTGCTTGAAACTTGTTTACTTACAAAATCATATCTAATTTTTTAATCCAAGGGAATTTCAAAGAGATTTTTAATTCTGTGGGTTGTTTTGTTTTGTTTTTGTCCTAGGACTTGAACTTACGACTTTGCACTTTGTCATAGGCATTGTGCTGCTGAGTTAGCTCTCCGGCCCTTCAAAGAGTTTTTTATGGAGATAAAATACACATTACACACAACCAGTTTAAAGTGTACGATTTGGTGGTATTTAGTATATTCACTGTATTGTGCGATCACTACCTCAACTTAGAGAATTCTCTCCTCACTCCTGAAAAGCACTATTTAGGTACTGTTCCCCCCTCCCCATCCCTGCTTCTCCCATTTCCCATTTGCCTCTGATCTGTTGTCTGTTTCCATGGATTTGCCTGTTCGGTGTATAGCATAACAAAAAAAATCACCAAAAAAACGGAGCCCCCATCTGTGGTCTGCAGTGCCAGGCTTCTGAGCGTGGTGTTAATAGTCATCCAAGGTGTGTGTTTCAGCACTGCGTTCTGTTCTATAGGTAATAGCATAATGGATGATTTCAGCTCTCTCCATGCCTGGCTGCTACGAATAACGCTGTAAACATTCCAGAACAAGATGTGGTTGAGCCATGTTTTCATTTCTCTTGAGTTTGTGTACCTAGGAGTCTTGCTGGGTCATACAGTAGTTATATGGCTTGGCCAATGCTACCTTAGCTTTTTTGAGGAGCTGCCAAACTCTCCCACAGTGGCTGCCCATTTTGTGTTCCCACCAGCAAGGCCTAAAGCTGTTTGATTACAACACCCCCACCCCCCGCCTCGCGTTTGCTTCCTGGGTTCCAGACTAGCCATCTAGTGAGTACTGTGATTTTCTCACTGCACTAGTGAAGTGCTTAGTGATGCTGGACAACTTTTCATGTGCTAACTGTCCATGTGTACGTCTTTGTTGAAGGCCTTTGCCCATTTTTTAACTAGGCTGTCTTAATTTTAAGAGTTCTTTGTGTATTCTGGATAGCAACCCTTATTGGCATTGTGACTTGCAGATGCTTGCTTTCTGTGGACCTCTGTCTGCCCCTCCCTCCCACCTCCCTTTCTTTCTCCCTTCCTTGTTTCCTTCCTTCCTTTAATGGTACTGGGGACTGAACCCAAAGCCTTCATATTGAGTTATATTCCTAGCCTTTTTTGTTTTGAGACAGGGTCTTACTAAATTGAGAAACTGCCCAGGCTGGACTCAAACTGGCCATCCTCCTGCCTCAGCCTTTCAAAAGGCTAGGATTCTAGGCATGCACCACTCCCAGCTAGAATATTCTTGCTAACATACTTTAATGCAAAATGTAAAAAAAAAAAATTATGAAGCCAAATTACATCATTTTAGTCAGTATTACTAGGTTATTTAGCAACAAGGTTTTTTTTTTCCTCTTTGAACTCGGAATCAAACTCAGAACTTCATGGTTGCCAGGCAGGCGCTGTGCTGCTGAGCCATTTCCCTGGCCCCCATTGGGTTGTTTTTTAATTGTTATTATCAGCTGGTTTTTTTTCCCCGATATGATGTGTTATTTTATTTTCCAAATCCATTTTATTTCAAGGAGAAAAAGGAAAAAACTACAGCAAAATGTCAGAATATGTCAATGAAGGGCCAACAACGGTACAAATATTGTGCATTGTCATCCCCAAATCATTCACCAGACATTTGCATATCAGGTGTCTGGTTGTTTGTTTTGTTTTTTTTTTTTCCCTCTTGCTTTTAGTATTAATCAAATCTAAGAATCCAGGGCCAAGCTGAAGCTTTGAAGATTTATTTTATTACTACCTCTAAGAGTTAAAAGTTGTAGCGCGTAACTCATCGATCCGATTTTGAGTTTAATTTTTGTGATGAAGTGAGGTAGGAGTCATTCTTTTGCACATGACTCTCATTCCAGCACAGCTGGAGGAACTGACGCTTTCATCTGCTGTAAAGTGTTGGCACCTTCTCAAAAATCAGTTGGCTCTGTGGGCTGGAGTGTAGCTCCGTGGTAGGTGCGTGCTAGAGCACAAGGCTCGAGTTCTTCCCCAGCGCCACAAAAAAAAAAAAAGAAAGAAAGAAAAAGAAAAAAGACGCCGGAGTTGATTCTGCACTTTCAGCCCTACGTCTCTGGTCTCTGTGTGTGTCCTGCCGCCGCCAGTTTTGACTCCTGTGGCTTTGTACTAAGACTTGAAACCTCTGTGTTCTGCCTTTTGGAGGTTCCCTGATGTCAACATATGAAAAAAGCTGCTGGAATTGGGGTCATATTTGGAATTTGCTGAAGGAGAAGAAAAAGCCACTGGGATTGTTGTGTTGACTACACAGCCATCGTCACAGGGCTGAGCCTCCCACTGTAGACCACAGGGCGTCTTTCCACTTTTTTTTTTTTTAATCTTTTTATCGGTACCAGAGATCGAACTCACGACCGCCTGCTTGCAAGGCAGGCGCTTATGCCACTGAGCTAAATCCCCAGCCCTGTGTCTCTCCACTTTTAACCAGGTTTTCTTTCAGTGGTGTCTTGTGTTTTACATCTGCAAGTCTCACTTCCTTGGTTAAATGTATCCCTGAAGTATTTTTACTCTTTGGGATGGTGGCGTAAAGGCAGTTATTTTCTTTAAAGTTCTTTTCAGGTTTATTGCTAACTTACAGAAATGTAACTGAGTTGTGTGGTCTTAAAGCCTTGCTAAGTTATTCGTTCTAAAGTTTTTTTTCTTTGTGTGGATTCTTTGAGATCCAGAGTATATGGATATATTGGTGCAGAAATAGAGATAGAATTTCCCGCCGTAAGAGGGAGTGCAGTCTTCGTTTCCAGGTTGGACGCCCTTTTCTTTGTCCTGACTGATTGGTTGCTCGGCAGGCCAGGACGTGAGGACCGCATGGGGCAGCGGTAGTGAAAGTGAGAGTCTTCGTCTTGGTCTGGTGTCTGATCTTAAGGGAAGCTGCTGGTCTAGACTCACACCGCGGATGGTGGTAGTTGTGGGTTTCCCCATGAATGCCCTTGATCATATTAAGGAAGTTCCCGTCTGCCATTAGTTTGTTGGGTATTTTTTTCACAAAAGGGTAGGCCCATTTTATTAAAAATGTAAGTAAAGTCCTGACTTGAAAAAAATATGTCAGGAGATGTGACGTGGACTTTTGGTTCTCCCGTTCCTGTCTGTGTGACCTCATGGGATGGCGTTCATCTAGGTGGTGGACATAATGAGAGTCAACGTGGACAAGGTGTTGGAAAGAGACCAGAAGCTCTCGGAGTTAGACGACCGCGCGGATGCACTGCAAGCAGGAGCGTCTCAATTTGAAACAAGTGCTGCCAAGTTGAAGAGGAAATACTGGTGGAAAAACTGCAAGGTAACTGTCTCTTGACTGACCGTTCTCAGAGGCTGGCAGAGAAGGTGCAAATAGTGGACTTCCGTGAATCTGGAGCGTGGGCTTGACTTCTGCATGCAGACCTGTGAGGCTTATACACAGACTGTATCTTTTTTTTTGGCTGCCACCAGAAATCCTGTTGTGTGGCTGATCTTACAAGGTGATAGAAGGATAGAACGGGGTGCCCGCCCCGCCCAGGCAGGACCGCTCAGTCAGTATGTAGCTGGTTCTGCCAGTGGCTCCAGAGCCAAGGGGAGGAAACCTGGCGGGCAGCCACATGGAGAACAGTTCGCAGCAGATTTTATACAGCCAGCAAATAAGTATGCTCGAATCAGATCATACTATATCCTGCCTCTGCTGTGTTGAGCAATGACACTGAGACACGGGACGTAAGTTTGATCTCTCTGCCCAGCATGGAGAATTTATATGCATGAACAGATGTTTTGCTGGGGGCCACAGGTGCTTGGCACACATTTTAAAAAGCAGGCAGGTAAACTTTAGGCTCTATCTGAGACCATGAAATGTAGCTGTTAAGAAATGACAAGTTGTTGTAGATTGTAGCACACCTGGATTGCTAGAATAATGCTGTAGGACGCTCCGCAGTAAGCCTGTTACGCGTTTTCCTGAGTGTGAAGTGCATGTGTGTTTTCCTCCAGATGTGGGCCATAGGGATTGGTGTGCTGGTGATCATCATCATCATCATCATCGGTGAGTTAATTCCTGTGTGCACACATGATCAGCTGCACAAGAATACACAATAAAAGTTCCCTCGGACTGCTAGCACGTTCCAGGGTTTTTGAAGAATTTGCATTAGCAAATCTTTCAAGTTCTTGAATTTTGTATGATAAAACTCTTGAGTTTTTTTTTTTTTTTCTTTTACATGCACATCAGTTCGTTGAGGCAGTTTGTTGAGGGGAACCTCATTGCTATATATAGCTCCATTTTCCTCTCTGAATTCAGTGATATTACACATTTCCTTTTATGTAGTGTAATAATTCAGAGAATGGGCTACCTGTGAGCCACCCCGTCCAGCTCTGTGCCCTTGGGCAAACAACTGAAAATTTCTTGACCTCCACTTTCCTCATTTATAAAATGAGGATAACAACAGTATGTACCTTGCTTGTTACGAGGACAAAAAATGCTTAGTGTATATGGTATCTAGCATGTACAGTAACAAAAATAGTTACTAGCATGACTATATGTAACACATATGTATATGCATATACATACACCCATTACTATCACTGTACACAAGGTTAGAAGAACCCATTGCCCTTTAGCCCACTATATGGGCACTCCTTAATAGGCACGTCTTCCTTTCATTGCTAGGTCAATGTCAGTGAATATTGCTCTTTAATGAGTTATTTGAATGCCCCCTTCCCCCATCTTTTTGAGACAAGGTTTGGCTATGCAGTTCTCACTGGCCTTGAACTCGCTTTGTAGCCCAGGCTGGCCTAAAACTCACATTGATCCTCCTGCCTCAGCCTTCTGAGTGCTGGGATGACAGGTATGGGCCACCATTCCTGGCTGGTTACTACGTTTCCACAGCATGCAGAGGAGTCACTAGTAGGAAATGGGTCAGGTTGGCTGCTGTTCACAGTTACTGAACGCAGCCTTCTCTCTGGGTGTGCACTGAAAGACTAAACCACTTTCTCCTGTTTCTGCTTTTTCCTCCCTGCCTCTTAGTGTGGAGCGTCTCTTCCTGAAGAACCAGCGGAACTCGAGCCTTGCTGTTCAGGAAACCTCTTGAAGACCTTTTCGACTTTTGAACCGCTATGTTATTAAGCTTTCCTACTGTTATTTCTAAACTGATTATTTTTGCTAGTTCATGTAAAGTTCAGTTTCTAGGAAATGTGCCTTTGTTTTTTAATATGCACTCCAAACTAGAGGTGTGGCCAGCCCCGCCCACCTTTTGCACATAGCCTTTACAGATTTACTGATAAGAGGACTTCCTACCAGGCAGAATGCTGTACTCTGGGTAGTATGTCACTAATGAATTGCCACTGATTTCAGCTAAGTTAGCTGTCCTGGGCTTCTGACATTACCTGCAGCCCCACATTCTAAACCATTGGGTAATGAGATTTCCAGATTGTGCCTTCCAGAACACTACTGCCTAACACACATCTGTGACAGTAACAGGCCATGCCTTGCTTTTGTACTTCCCTAGCTGCCTATACGAGGCTCGATCCTTTTCATAAGTACTACTGACTCTTGCTGTTTAAAACAAGATGCTGGTGAAGATTTTTTGCTTACATTAGATATGAAGATGTTTACTTGTTATGTATCACTTTCTAAAATACTTTAATCAGAAATAATAACCCTTTTGAAAAGTTTTTAAAGAACTATACCTATGACCAAAGTTTCTATTTTGCCAAAATGTGAACATACAAGCAAAGTGTCCTTCACCTGTGTCTGACAGAATTCAGAAAGTGCCAGAAGGAGCCTTTTAGAAGTACCAGCACACGTGCTTTTCCCCAGTTCGGCAGCCAAGCTTTGAAATGGTGCCGGCGATGTGGCCCCTCCTGATGCATTTTTCACAGGGTGAAGATTTGCACAAAACTGCCGCTGCCTGGTACTTGTACACAGGGTTTCCCCGACAGCAGTGGGCTCCAGCATGTGACAGTCCTGAGACCTCCATTAAGACCATCTGTGAATTCGATCATTACAAGACTCCCATGTGATAGCACTTTGAAATTTGTTTCCTGTTTTTCTTTGACGTGTGCTCCCTAGAGCTTCTAAATTCTGCTTTCCAGGCACTGGTCAGGTGGATGGCCCAAGATGTTTTTTCTTCTGTGTTATAAACTGCACAGATGCTGCTTTGAAAATAGCACCTGAGAGACGTGGGTCCATGAGGCTTTTAACATCGGGGTATGTGGCTTAAAAGCAGGGTTTCAAGTATAAATGAAAAACAAGGAGGCACTGGGGGAGAAACACAGGCTTTACCACTCTGGCCATTTTTTCCAGAACCTTCTAGGTATCATTCACATGCTTCTATGACTTACACAGCAGCCACAGTTCCATGTCTGCACTGTGTCCCCTGGAAACCCTGAGATGATCTTGTGTTGAAGACGTGCCTTGCAGTGGCCTGGGGTCTGGCGATGCCCGACTCTGAAGCCTTGGTGCTCACTCCTTGCTCCATAGTCGACCTGTATAACCCACTGGCTCCTGCGTTAACCCAAGAATACCTCGCTTGTGTCTGCACGCAGCTGGGAGCTTGCCCGCTCCGAGGAGCTGAATAAAATGTTTATAAAACATGATGCTGGCCCCTGTGTTCCTTGGGGGGGGGGGCTGCGGCTGGTCCAAGTCCTAAACTGATTCTCCCCCCAACCCCCTTGCAAATTTCCATTTCTCCTCCTTGCCCACCCAGTTCTGGGTTTGCCCTGCCTGAGGGAACAGAAGTCTCCCACCCACTTCGAGAAAGTGGAGGTGAGTTGGGGGCTGCTTTGAGTCTGAAATGTGGCCTTGTGCTTGGTAAACTAGGCAGCGACCTGCTGAGGCTAACCCTTGTTACGAATACACTGCCACTTTTACCCTCTGACCCCTAGGGAATACTGTCATCTGGGTGAAGCCGACTTTGGTTTATAGTACTGAATACTGCTCCTTAACCCCAGCCCCACCTTGATTTGGCCGCCGGCCGGTCTCCGAACGGGGCTGCACTTCCGCCCAGAGTCGGAGCGGCTCAGGGCTCGCTCTGGGTCGTCTCATTCTCTGGGGCCCTCTTTGTCACCAGGCTGGATCCTCCCACCGCCTCCCCCAAGTAAAGTTACTTGCTCCCCAGCGCCTTGAGTCGGTCTTACGTTTTACTTCCCAAAGCGCGGGCACCCCAAAAGGGCAGGGACTTTTCTCTGTCGTTATCTCCCAGTTTGACAGTCATTCCCGACCAGGCACAGTATCTGCAGGCTAAGGAAAATCCCTGGGGACTTAGCACTCCCAAAAAGACCCCTGTAGAGTATTTCTTGGAAATCCAACACACAATGGCAGTCATCCACTTTTCCTCGCCCCCTTTGTAGACAACTTTACAACAAATACTGCTTTTGATGTACCAGGCAGCAGGGTGGCTGCCCTCCGCCTTTTAATTTGGGCAAATTGAGAGGCTACGCAAAAGGCTTTCAGACTCTCTTTAAAGGCCGGGGAAGTGGGCAGGTCCCTGCTTAAACTTCCCTTTTTGACAGTCGGGACTAAATTGTAGCACCTCTGTTCCCCGTTCCGCCAAACCCACCATTCGCTTGCAGCAGGAGAGCGAGCAAGGTAGGAAAGACCAAACGCACTGGAGACGCGGGAACCTATAACGCTGCGCAGCGCCAGAGGCCTCTCCGCGGCGCTGCACTGCGGCCCCAAGGGACCCGGGAACCAAGCGCGCCGCTCGGTCACGCCCCCGCCCGCAGCTCACGTGGAGGCCGTGTCGGGCCTGCCCATCTTCCAACCAAATCCCGCTCCGTCGTGATTGACAGCTCCTGTGCCCTATCACTCTCACTTGGACTGCGCCGGTCCCTCCCCCAAGAAGCCGAGCGCTGAGCCCCAGTCTCCTAGACCAGTCTCGGCACCGCCCCTCCGCCTCTGACTTCTGCTCCGGCCTACCGTGATTGATCGGCTGCCACCTTCTGCCCCCCGCCCCCAAGTGCGTTATCTAATACGCTCCGGGGCCCTTGCCTCCACCCACCAGCAGGCGGTTATGTAAGCACGGCGTGGTCCTCTGGACCAATGAGAGTCCGTGCAGCCCTCCGCAGTGGCCAGTCGCGCGCCAAGGGGAGTGGCCGGGTCACGTGGCGCGCGCGTTGCACGCGGCGGGCCTAGAGACTGAGCGCGCGACCTGGTGCCAGTGTTTGAGGGAGTGCAGTGCTTAGTCTGGCGGGGGTCCTGCGAGCCAGTAGGCCGGGTGCGGGATCCTGCCCTCGGCGCGGCGGCCCCGGAACGTGGCGCCCCCACGTGGCCGCCGACCCGCGTGCGGCGCTCGCATATTCTGCGGGACGGCCAGGGCGGAGGGAAGGTCCGCGGTGAGGACCCCCACTCCCGGCTGGGACCACGGCCAGCTCGGCTTCCAGCCTCACATTTGTCTTCTCTCCGACCCCGGGCTGGGCTGCCGGGACAGGAGCCCCAGAAGGCTCGGTGGACATGCAGAGGAGAAAAGTGCCCCTGACATGGACGTGAGCGGCGATCGAGCTCAGTCGTGACTGAGCGACCCCAAACGCCCAGGCAGGGATCGGGTGACTGTCGCCGCCTGCACAGCGAGAGAAGCGGGCGGCGGGCCTGGGGCTCTGCGAGATGGACCCGGGCGAGGGCCGGCTTGCACCCGGGGCGCGCGCGCTGGAAGGGCCGTCGGGCTCCGAGACCCCGCTGCAGGGGACTGACGGAGACAGCGGCCACAGGTGACGCCCGCTGCGGTCCACACCCGGGGGTTTGCTGTCCTGGCTAGCGCTGGAAAGGGGAAAGCTGGGTGGAGGGCTGTCCACGGTATTGTTGGAGCTGGGGCGGGGGGAGGGGAAAGGTGGGATAATCGAAACCCCAAGGAAAATTACCAGAGGTCCCGGGAGGTAAAGAGTGATGAAAGGATTCGTCTGGAAAGTGCTGCACAGCATCCAGTCGCTTTGCCTGCGGTTGCCTTCTTGTGAGAAGAGATCGTAAACTTGTGACCTGAACCTGCAGATGCACGAAGAAAATCATACGCATTTGCCAGGGCTGCAGCTGTTAACATTTTCTCTTTGTAATCTTCCAGTGAACAAGAAGATCGAAATAGAATTTCTCAGGAACTTGTAATGGTTGTTCAAGAAATGAAAAAATACCTGCCAGCGGAGAGACACAGGAAACCAAGCACCTTAGATGCCCTCAACTATGCCCTTGGCTGTGTCTACAATGTGCAAGGTACACAAGCTGCGAGGTGCACCGGTGCCCACGCTTGGAGTTCATTTAGTCACAGGTGTATTCTGAGCAAATTCCTAGTTTCTTTGTGTCTTCAGGAGAACCTTAGTTGCCTAACAGTTTAGTAGGCTTGCAGTATTTTGCTGATCTGTTGCAAGAGACAGGCAGTTTAGCATAAGCACATTTTGAAGAATAACTTTTATAAGGAACGTTATCTTCCTTCGAAGTTAAGAGAAAATATATTCGACTAAAAATACGTTTATCTGTCATACACACATTTTGAAAATGCAGTCATGAAGAATTTACTGCATTAAGGATGCACAGTGTTTTCTTGTTTCTGACTTTTCTTCTGAAGGGATTTTATAAACTTGTATTGTCTGTGGCACAAACCTGTGCGATTCATCTATGATACACACTTTCTGAACACTGGAATAATGTTTCCACCATAAAACCCGTGTGTGTGTGTGTGTGTGTGTGTGTCTGAAAGTTTTAATTTCATTAACTTGTTTAGGTACATTAAGTGTCTCTTGTGCCTTGTGACATACACTATGCAGAATTAGTAAAACTTACACTCTTTAAGTTTGCACAGCTATTTTAGAAGCAAGCAGAAAATGATCTGGATGTGAGGACAATGGATGTGAGGGCACGTAGGGTGGCCTTATCCTAAGAAAACAAGCCAGCTTGCTAGCACTAAAAATGACCTGATAAGATATTGTTGTCACAATACTGTTTATTTCCCTGTGTTTCTTAGCAAACAGTGAATTCTTCCAGATTCTCGGTGGACATGAGTTACCTCTGGCAGACGCGACAGTGTACAGTCCCAAGGAGCTGGCTGCTGTTGCTGCAGAGCTCACTTGCAAGAACACAGTAAGGACTACGAGTCTCGCGGTTTCAGCACTCGTGACTTTCCCAAAGGCTTTCTCTGTCCCCCCTTTGCATGTTTTTTAAAAAATACTGAATAAACGTTAATAACCACAATTTGAAGTAACCAAAGGAGAAAACTACTAAAGAGGCATCGTGTGGTTTCTCTTACGCTGGCCAGAGAAGACACCCAAAAACAGAAGCAGCACTGTGTGTGCTTTCTCTTGCTTTGGCTGTTGGGTGCTTCTGCCCCCTTAACATCCCTTAGTTCTCCTATTTCAGGATCAGAACAATCTGCAGAGTAATTTCCTGCATCTTATTCTACTCTCCAAATTGTTAGTTTCTGTTTATATCATTCTTAGTTGTAATATCTTAGTTCTAAGTTGTAATGGGTGGATTTTGTAGAAGAGGTGAGTTGAGATGTCATTTTTTGTGAGATTTTGGAAGAGACCTTTAGGGTATCTTTTGAATCTCTTCTTATAAATAGAATGAGTAAGCCTTGCATTTTGTGATTGCTTGGTTTTATGTTTAGACCTCAATATAATTGTCACAATAATTTTATGATCTTGCAACATAAACTGCATAATAGTATAATAGAATTTATTTTAGTAACTGGCAATGTTAAGAAAACATTAGCAGGTCTTTAAAACTAGGGGGGTGGGAGAAAGGGTAGAGAAGACAACGTAAAATGTATTACAGGTCTGTGCAGTTGGATAGAATTGGTATGTCCTGCAAACATGTATTGGTAAAAATAAAAGTAGAGAGGGAAGCTGGTGTCAACCTAGCAAACAGTGGCTGATTATAAATACATTTATATCTAACAAAAGGAATCGGAGCAGTTGGGCCTATACCATGAGGTCTGTCAAGGGCAGGTTCTGGAAGGATGTTCTGAAAGCTCAGAATCTGAATGACTTTTCTTCAGTTGTAGGGGACAGGGTGTATGTGTGTTTGTTGTCTTTTTGAGACAGGTCTCCTTGTGCAATTCAAGCTAGCCTTGAACTCACTTTGTAGCCCAGGCTGGTCTTGAGTTTGCAGTAACCCTCCTGCCTCAGCTTCCCCAATGCTGGGATTACAGGTGTGTGTCACCACACCCAGCTCAAGAGTACTGTTTGCAAAGGAGAAGAATTTGAAGGTTGTGTGCCATGTGTCCGTATGTTTTTGTAGAAGGAGCTAGTGTTTTCTTGTGTTTTGTTTTGCTTGCACATCAAACCTCCAGAAAGTTCATTGCAGGTTTTATTTTCATTTTTAAAAAGTACACTAGAGGAAACTCGGAGTTTCCTTGCCCTTGTGGTCTGTATATGCATTAAGTGGCGGATGGTGGTAGAAATCTATCAGGAATAGTGCTAATAAGCAACTCAAAGTTTCCTTTTGTTTTAAATGTTTTCCACAGGATACCTTTGTGGCAGTCTTTTCATTTCTATCCGGAAGGTTAGTGCATGTGTCTGAACAGTCCACTTCGATCCTGAAATGTAAGAAAGATTTCCTGGAGTCCTCTCACTTTGTTGATCTGCTTGCCCCTCAAGATGTGAGGGTGTTCTACACACACACTGCCCGAGCTCACCTTCCTTTCTGGAACAACTGGACCCAAAGAGGTAATGGGACCAGCGTTTGGATATGTGTCACCCTGCAAGATCAGCTTCATGCGAAATAGTAGAGAAATTAATGCATTATTTAGAAAGTGCAAATTAGTTAAGAGCTTATGATGAAAGAACATTTTAAATATTTCTGATAGCAAAGACTCAATACATTTGTTTTCACTCAGTGAAGTTAATTTCACACGTTATATGTTTTAAGTATAGTTTGAGTACCAGCATATTGTATAGCAGTTTAGTTGCTATGAAGACTGTTTCCTTTAAGTCAGTAAAATTAAATGCTTTTCCTCTCTTTAGAGACTTCATAATTTTTTTGTATATTTTACTTTAGAGATAAAATTGTGATAGTTGGTTCTCCTTTCCAGTTTTTATGTTCTCAAAAGTTCATGACCCTCATTGCTTAGGGGTTTTGTTTTGTGTTTGTGAAGTACTTGTTTTACCTGACACAGAGGTCATGAGCTCAGTTTTCTTTTTTTTTTTTTTTCTTTTTTTTTTATTTTTTAAAGTTTTATTTAAAGAAAAAAACAAAAATGGTAGAAATAATGCATAATAAAAAACAGTAAGAAATCACTAGTTGATAAATTACATATTGTCCTCTTAGAAATAATTGTTCAAGTTACAAAAGCAGGGGCTGGGGATTTAGCTCAGTGGCATAAGCACATGCCTTGCAAGCAGGCGGTCGTGAGCTCGATCCCTGGTACCGATAAAAATGAAAAAGACAAAAAAAAAAAAGTTACAAGAGCAAAGCATACTCACAAATCAAACCTAGTATCAATAGATAAGTCACTGGTTATCATACAGTAGAATAATAAATAAACATTTTAGTGATACCATTACAATTAGATTAAAATATATACACTAAGTATCTCAAACTGAGTCACAAGAGATTATTTATTTATTTATTTACTTATTGTTCTACTACTGTATAATAACCAAATGGCTTATCTATTGATACTAGGTTATTGATACTAGGATTGATTTGTGAGTGTTCTTTGTTATACTGTTTTTTTTTTTAATTTTTTTTTAAATTTTATTTAAGGAGAAAAGAAAAAAAAGCAGGGAAAGGGTACAAGTTATACAGATTTACAGAAAAAAAATGAACAGTAGGAAATCACTAGTTAATGGATTACATATTGTCATCTTAGAAATAATTGTTCAAATCACAAAATTAAAGCTTGTAAGGTGGACATTCCATCAGTGATACTGCAAACAGTTCTGTTCATTGATCCAATAAAACTCTGTGATATCATTTTCTATCTTATACACTTAAATATACATGCAGTTATATAGTTTGGAGCACTTTCTTTTCCTCTCTTTTGTACCATGACTATTACACATTTTGGGTTTCATTGCTCCCACGGTTCTTATTACTTTTTTGGAAGAGAGTAAAACCAAATGTGACATAACAGAACAGAATCGGTCAAGTCAAAAGGGTGGACATAATAGATAATGTAAAAACATAATACAAGGTGATCAACAATGGTTACCATAATGCCTCCCGCTATCTCTAATAGAATTGCCTATATCGTTAGTTATAATACAATTGAACAAAACAGTAAAGAATAAAACCGACAAAACCAAAACATTGGAGACATTGTAGGTCTTCAAAAGTAGATAAAAGTCAACAAGAATGGGTGTCATAATGAATCTCATTATCTTTACAGCTGATGCCTAAACTTTCGAACCTGATACTATCCAACAAAACAGAATAGGGGAACATCAGTTAAAAACCAGATGGTGAGAGTAATACAGGGCTTTAAATCAAGGTAATGAAAAGTCAAAGTGGGTTACTATAATATATCCTGCTATTTTTTTCCTTTAATTAAAAGGATAAAGATAAAAAAGTAAATAATGGAGTGGAGATTGAGATAAAAGAGGGCATAACAACGAAACAGCGCAGATCAAAACATAACCATTTAAGCAGAATAGTGTTTCACCACCAGATAATCCTAACCTAAAAGTAGTTACCATATTGTCTCTTTCTTTGAAATCCTTGAGTACAACTTCGTATACTGTAGCATTAAGTATATCAAAACAATGTAAAACCATTCAAGAGAATGACAGCATTACAGAGTATTTAGAATCGACTAACAGAAAATGAACAATGGTTTCTGTATAATCTCCTTGTCTTTAAAAGGTTTTTGCTTATACTATCGTACATAATAAAATCCAATAAGATACAGCCTATTTAGACCATTGGAGACAGAAGGACAAAAGCTAGATGAGACTTCAAAACAAGATGATACTAAATCAGTATTACCTATTAAGATGTCATTTTCTCCAAAATAGCTGTTCCTATCATCCAATCTTCTCTGCCTCATTTCTGTTGAGCTCTTTTTCTGTCAGTAGCTGTCAGTTTGTCTTCTTCATTTTGTTCTCTGCTCCATTCGTTGTGGCCTCTCTGCTATTATTTCTGGATTCTTTGTATTTTTCTTTTTTTAGAATATCCTGCAATACTCTCTTTAGAGTTGAATTGGTGGTTGCAAATTCCCCCAGTTCCTCTTTATCCTGGAAGCACCTTGTTTTTCCATCAATTTCCAGGGACAGTTGTGCAGGATATCTCAATCTTGGCTGGAGATTATTATCTTTCAAAGCTTGAATTATTTCCCCCCACGCTCTTCGTGATTTGATGGTTTGTGCAGAGAAATCTGCTGTAATTCTGATGGGTGTTCCCTTGTAAGTGGTCTGTTTCTTGTCTCTGACAGCTTTTAATATTCTGTTCTTGTATTGAATTTCTGGAATTTTTATTATTATATGCCTGGGTGTTGCTCTGTTTGGGTTGTAGGTAGCTGGGGTCCTGTATGCCTCATACATCTGAGTATCTTTACCTTTTGCTAAATTAGGAAAATTCTCCTGGATTATTTCTGTGAGTAGCTTTTGTAGTTCACTTGTTTGTGTCCCTACTTCTTCTTTTATGTTCTTAATCCTTAAGTTATGGATCCTCTTATCATCTTCTTGTCTTTGTATTATTGCTGTTTGTTTCTTTGTTATTTTTAAGAAGTTTTTTATTTCATTCTCCCATATTACAAGTCTGCCCTCCAGTTCAGATAGTCTGTCCTTAGTTTCTTTCAAGCTGTTATGCCAGTCTTCTATAGACTTCTTAGTATCTTGGTAGTGCCTTTGAACCTGCTTCACGTATTCTATGCTTTCTCTGTTTTCTCCATCAAACAATTCTCCCCTTTTTTTCTGTTCTTCCATTCCACCACCTGTTTTTTCTTGGGTGGTACTTAGCATTTCTCTAACTATTCTGCCTACTTCTAGCTTCAGGTCGTTGATAACTTCATTCCTGAATTGGTCTATGAGGCTCTCTATATGGTGCCTTATGTATATTGGTGCGGTGTCTGCTATTGCCTGTTTCTCAGAATTGGGGGCCGAGGAGCCTTTCTTGTTGCTGCCTCTTCCCATGCTGCCTCTTCTTCTCTGTTCCTTATATATGCAAGCTTATATAAGAGGCCTAGCTTCTCTCCCAGTCAGCCACAGCCTGATCGAATTGCGCCAGTTAGGTGTTCCTGCTCACCTCTGCGCACCAGGGAGTTACGGACCAGGCAGCCTACGCGTCTCCCCTCCCAGCCACCGTCAGGCTCTGGGATCTGGGTTGGGACAGCCTACCAGGTCCGCCGGCAGCGTCACGCAGGCCAGGCACTTTTCACCAATCCCGCCCGAGAGGGGGATGTGTGGCTGGAGTCGCCACAGCGCCATGCTCCTGCAGGACTGCTCGGGCCCAGAAAGTCCTCCGCTGGAGTCAAACTGTGGTAGAGTGTCAGTTTCTCTCACTCACCTCACCACAAGTCAGTGCACGCCTCCCTGCCGTTCGCAGATTGCCGTTCTCAGAGCTTCTGCGTGTCTCTCTCCTTGCCGAGCCACTGTAGAGGCAGCCAGCCGCTGCACGGCGGGAAACCCAAATCGCGGCTTACAATGGCGTGGGGTCCAGCCTCCACAACGAGGCTTTTCTCTTCATGTTTTAGCACCAGGACTGCATTCCAAGTTGGTTTCTCTCAGCCCAGTTCGTTCCTGAGTCAGCAGAGCATATCTCTACCTGCTTATGTCTCCTTAGTCCGCACCATTCCTGGCTTCTGAGCCGAGTCTTTCAGAGAGCCTCCGGTAGTTGCTGTTATCTGTCCGCCATGTTCTCCCGGAAGTCCATGAGCTCAGTTTTCTTTGTGACATTCCGCCCTTTGTGATCTTTCACGCATTCTTTTGTGGCTTACGGTCTTTGTGAAGTGTCCCTTAGAGAGCTTAGTGTGTATCTTCCTGATTCCCAGTCCTTTTCCTGTTTTACATTCATTTTTTATTGTGATAAAAACATACAGCTTAAAATTTGCCATCTTTAAGTGTACACATCTGCGGTGTAAAGTCTGTTTACGTTGCTGTGGAACAGACGGTAGAGCTGTTCATACCTGCCGACACAGTGCAGGCCTTGGCTGGTTTGTGACTCCAGCCATCGGCCCCGTGAAGGCTTGCGGGTTTCTTTCTTCCAATTATAGACCTTCATGCCATCTTTTTTGAGTATTTGTACATAACGTCTAGAAAACATGCAGAACTTTCTTGTCTTATTCTGGCTCCAACTTCTCTCCTCCCCTCTTTCAGAATTACATTTCTCCTCTTCTTTCCTAAGAACACTTTTCCATCTTGTAATTGTCCCCATTCGTTTCTCTGCTTTCTGTGATGGTTCATTTTGTGAGCGTTTATGTAGCCGTCGCCCTGGGCCGGGAACTGCTCTGGATGCCAGGATGCAGCTGAGCGCGGCACAGCCGCCTCGGATCGCGGGCGGCCTCTCACGTTTCTCTTCCGCGTCGCCCGTGTAGCTCCGTCTGTCTCTCAGCTTTGCTGATCCCTCACTGATTGCTCTGGTGTTCTTCTTCCACACAAAGACACAGTATGCCCTGAAATACTTGTCTTTTGGACCTCAAAATGTATTTTTACTGTAAATAGCTGATGTGCATCCAGTTACTTCTAATATTATCTTTCAGCCTTATAAATCTCAAGGATTCCGCTCCTGCGGGAGCTCTCGGCAAGCCACTGCCCGTGTTCTCGCTCTTGGTCCCTTTCCCTGAGCTCGGAGAACCTGAGCGGATCTCGGAAGCTTCCTGTTCGCTGTGGCCAGCCACCCGTCCTGCATTGTTAGAGCATGTCTCCACCTAACGCCAGTTGTTTAAACCCCTCAGGAGATTCCAGCTGCTACACTTGAGCACACACTCTAGAAACCAGAATGATGCACACACCTAGCCTGGAGTCGCGGGTCTGGCTCACAGTGTTAGGGAGCCGGGGAGGCACTGCGGTCGGGGCGCCTGGGTGAGTGTGTAGGTCCGCGGGCAGGCGGCGGTGTTTGCGGTACCGCACAGTCATCTTTCTGATTCTGCCTGTGTCGTCACCTTAGAAGAGCGGAGGCCTGGCCTCGTCAGTGCTTTGGGTGGTTGGTGTTCCCTTCACTTTCCGTTTTTCCGACTTCTCAGTGCTCGTGGTCCCTATAAGAAAGACTTTTCATTCCAGAGTACCAGCGGGCCACAAACGAATATTTGGGGGATACTATTGAAGAAAATACAAACACTATCTGAGGTCCGTTTGACCCTAAGATGGGGAAATTTATTTCTAAATTGCCACAGCAAATTGGTAGACGTAAACAATTGGCATGACAGCTGGCCAAAAATACTGGTTAATTACACTAAATTAGTAAAATTAGTAATACATGATAAGAGTTATGTCATTTAACCCAAAATTCACCTGTAGAAATTTACCCAAGGAAGGAATTTAAAGGGGAAAAAATCAAGTTCATACATTGTGGAGCTAAACCCTGAAATAGTCTAAATTCCCAGTTATTGAGAAATATCCAGACTCATTCAGTAGAACTGAATCAAAGGATGAGAAAAGCAGCCTTTGTAAGGGGACAGTGGCTCCCTTACAGGAGGGCTGAGGCTCCCAGGGGAGGACGCGGGAGGTCTGGAGAGAGAGAGGCGAGCCCCATGCCGTCTTGCCCAGGGGCTGCCAGGACAGCGAGGAGTCCTCAGAACAAGGGCCAGGAATCCTCCTGCCCTCCGAGCACTCTTACAAGGTGCAGGTTGTATTTGGCTTGGCTGTAGTGCAAGTTCACCTTGCTGAGGAAGAGCCGTCCTAGGCAGGAGACAGTAACGTTTTTCTCTCTTTCTAGCATCGCAGTATGAATCCGCGCCAGTGAAATCCTTTTTCTGCAGGATCCAGTAAGTAAAGGAGCGTGGGAGCTCAGAATGTGCGTTACACTGTGACTTTTATTCAATACTTACTGTGATCCTTTGCTATCAGCTAGATTCTCTTATGGATTGGAAAAAAAGACAGTGCTTGTCACAAGAAATTTTCATTTGAATTGAGAAGAAACAGACTCATGAGAAGACAATGCGATAGGAAAAAAGATGGAGAAAGAATTCTTGACCTAGTGGGATATAAAAGTCACAGGATGTGAAGTACACTTTAAAGTGCTGTCTTTTCTTTCTCTCCTTGACCACCTGTCAATTTTTAGTTTTTTTAAATTACTTTTTTTCTTTTCTTTTTGAGACAGAGTCTTGCTACGCAGTTCAGGCTGGCAGTTGAATGTCTACACACGTTTTGGTGCATCTAAGGCACAGTGACCGATCTGGGAACTTCCCTTGCACCTCATTGTAGCCAGCCCTGGAGGTGCAAGGGATCGAGCCACACGGGCCTTCTGAGGGCAGTACTCTGTGCGGGTCGGCCACTCTTTATCAAACCTTTCTTCCTTGGGAATTTTCTGGCATGACACAAGTGGAAAAAATTGTGTGGAGGTCCCTTTTCCTGTCCTGTCACAGTCTAGGAAGTTTCTATGTGTAATCCCAGGGAAAAATTACTGGCATTGTTGCGAGTTAACTCCAGTCTACCACCTGCAGTGCAACCCATGGCAAAAGCCACTCAGACATGTTTATAGTCACGGGGAGCCGAGGGCTCCTGAGTCCGGCCTAGACGAAGGCTCCCGAAACAAAGGCCTCTAGTCATCATCACATGAGTGCCTGGGAGAAGGGCAGGAGATACACGAGCAGGGCTGGCTAGGAGGCCAGAAAGCAGAAAGAAGGACGCACAGAAAGACCAATCTGCACAACACAATTGAGGTAGTAGCTAATGTTTAGGGGTTAGTGCTGCAGCTCTGATGTGCAAACCTTTTCTGCCCTGGGAAGTCAAGAGTCTCTTGTCTCAAACGCAGCTGACAGCCCTGGAGCATTGGCCTTGCATCCCCCACTCAGCCATTTGGGCACCGAGACAAGGAAATAAATAGCAACTGTCACCTGGCATCCAAGAGTACGCATCAGTCTTTAAGCCAGCCCATTTACATTGCTCACAGCCAGTTGAAGGGAAGAGGAAATGGCTCAGCCTGCTCTGTACACATCAGTGCATGGACATAGGGCCAGGCCTAGCGCGAGTGGAGGTAACTGCTCTGTACTCAAGGAGAGCCATCCAGGTGATCCTCTGCAAAATTGTGTGAGGAACCAGTGTGTTCTAAGCACTCTGCTTTGGTAACCAGTCTGGTGCCATCTCTACTACCTCCAATTTCTCTACTCTCCTCCCCAAGTTCTCTGGAGCAAGTCTTGTGTGCCCCATCAATCTTAGAGTGAGTTTCTAAGAGCTAATGTTCCCATTCACCTCCATGCTGCTCACAGGACCTGTCTGGCCAGCGGGGATCCCTTTAGACTGGCCGCTTTGCCCTTGTGAGACTTTTCCCATGGTCTCCAGGGACCTCCCTTGAGCCGGGTGAGATGCCCCCACTCAGCTTGAACATTTCTCACTGCAGATGTGGAGCCGGGTGTTTCTCTAGGGACCTTGTTTCTGGTCCTGGGAAATGGCACTAGTGTTCAGAGGCCAAATCTGCACAGCAGGAATGGTTGATGCTACAACAGGGTTGTCCCTACTTCTAGAACGTTTCAGTGCACAGACGTAGGCAGTTGTACTTTCAGACAGGAAGCAGCCAGTGCAGTATAAAGGGTCAGTCACACTGGCTGCCACGTGGGAAGATTCCGTGGAGCAGCAGAGGGCAGGGAGGGCCCTGCAGGGCGTGTGAAGAGACACGGACCCAGGCCACCGTGGCATGGTGCAGGAGAAATGTTGGGATGGTCCAGATTTATTGGTGGATTTGGTGCAGGCTGGGAAGTGAAAAACAGCAGTCAGATTTGAGCCCAGGGTTTGGGGTAGAGCTCTGTCCTGAGATGGGCAAAGTTGTAGGAAAAGCTTCTGGAGAAAGGCAGCAGAATATGTGTCTGAAGAGAAGCCTGAGACTAAGTTGAGACTGTCAGAGAGTCTGATTCAAAGTAAGCTCGAGGCCAGAGTTAGATGTGTAGGTCCAGCAGCACACAAATGGATTCAGAGCGCTTGGACTGGACAGGCCGAGAGAATCTTTAGGAGGAGAGAAGCTGGGAAAGAGCCGTGTGGAAGCTTACAGGCGGGCGGGAGAAGCTGTCTCCACGTGAGCGAAGCCGGAGGGAAACCACAGAAGGGGAGAGGCGGGAGGAGAAGGGTGAGAGCAAGGCGGCAGCTGGCCGGCGGGGGCGCCCCTGGCCTGCCGAGGCCGCCTTGGAATGCGTGGTCCTGCACCCTCGGCTGGCAAGAGGGCAGAGGCATGGTGGGGAGAAACGAAAGAGTGTGAATTTAGTCTTGACTACTTGAAGCCCAGGAGAGAGGTAAAAGTCCTCAGGCACTGTAATTGTGAGCCCCTGCATGTTTAAACAACTTCAGTCTGGATGTCAGTCTCGGGACTCACCTGCAGTAGGTGGAGGCCCGAGGGCCAGCACTAATCAGCTTTGCTCTCCTCAGTGGAGACAGCGGGCACAAGAGGTGCTACTCCCCGTTTCGGATCGTCCCGTTTGGTTCATGTGCACAGCCCTGCCCTCTCAGAGTCGGAACCTTGCTGCCTAGCGCTGGTTGAAAAGATCCACTCTGGTTATGAAGGTAAGTTCGGAGGGCCTGAATGTAGCTAAGATCCCGGCACCAGCAGTCAGATGGGCATGCTGCAGGCCTCTTGGCAGTGGTTGAAGAACAAAGATTGCTTGAGCTTCCAGTGCGGCTCCTAAACCCCACAAGCATTTTTAGCCTAGAGCAGAGCTGACCTGGCAGCTTTATGGCTCAGCTGAGGGACATCCATGTATTATTGAGTAGCATTTCACATCCTTGGGCTGGGGGTATAGCTCAGTTGCACAGCGCCTGCCTGGCAAATATGAGGTCATGAGTTCCATTCCTGGTACCCCCCAAAAGTGTGCATTTCAGATCTTTTTATTTGTGTAAAAGGAATAACCACTAAATAACACTAAACCTTTTACTTATTCCTGGACTGTTAGATTATCATGATAAGGAAAATGTTCAATATACATACATTTTTCTCTCTGCTTGTAATTAACTTTAGTAATCATCACATTTTGGCCTTCCTAAAATTTAGTTAATGAACATTAACTATTGCCTTAGCTGCTTGAAGACAGGGCCCCAAAATGATTTTCTACCATTTCATGTAGAGATTTTATTCCTTTTTAAATATATTAAGTGCATGATTCCTTATATATTTGCCTTTAGATGAGTCTTTCTGTTTTTTTTCAATAGCTCCTCAAATTCCAATGGATGAAAGAATTTTTACCACAACACATACCCCAGGGTGTGTTTTTCTTGAAGTAGATGAAAGGTAAATATTTAAGCCTGAAAGAAATTTGTTTCTGAAAATACAGAAATATATGAGAAAATTAATACTTTTCTACATTATATAATGAAATGTATCCACTTGCCTTTTTGGTGTTTGATAAGTACATTGGAATTAGTGTTGTGTGAATTTCTTTTTTTTAAAATCAGTACCAGATACTGAACTCACAACCGCACGCTTGCAAGGCAGGTGCTTACGCCGCTGAGCTAAATCCCCAGCCCCAGAATTTCTGATAGAAATATCTTGTATGTTAGATTTCTAAAAATGGTTTACAAGTTATTTTACAACACTGCTTTAGATAGATCAGGTAGTGGCACTCCTATTCTAGAGGAGAGGAGCCGGGAGCCAGTTTTTTAAGAACGTCAGTGGTATATCTGATTGTACTCAGACTGGTATGATTTTCTTCTATCAAGTGCTCCTTACATCAATTTAGGATGAAATTTTAGTCAAAAGACAGAAGAAAACAACAGCATTTCTGCTTGTCTGGGGCAGTTTTTTGGCAGTTAAATTCGAAGAATTTTTCTGTATTCTATGTCATTCCTCCTTTTGGGAGGAGGGCACTAAAATAGTGCCCTCAGAGGATTGTGGTAGAGGGCAGTTGTTGCTTATTGCTATTTACTATATTTAGAAAAAGTAAATTTTAGCATCACATGTATGTCTGCCTTTTTTCATCCATGTTTATTTTAAAGTTTCATTTATTGATGAAAATTATGGGAAACAGTACCTTATACCACACATAAATGTAAAGCAGAAATGTCAAACACTTGGCACAGTTGTAATAGGCATTAATTTTGATTTTAAAAAATTTTAACATAGGAAAATGGGCTTATTTAAAAACAGTTACCTGAAACCAAATGTAATTGGTGAGCCGCTTTATATAATTTGCATAAAAGTATAAAATGTAGTAAGGATAATTCTTAAAATAGCTTTAAATCAATAATTATTTGTGGTTTTCTATACATAGAAAATGTTTATGGAGTCAGATACTCCAACTTACCCTTGTTTTTACCATTATAGGGTTTCTGTGAACTTACGATTGTCTGTATATTTGTATTATCTCTGAGCACTCTCATTGTGCTTAGATGTTTTTAATCATGTCTGTGTTAATCAGCTTTCTGTTACTATGATAAAATACTTGAGATAAATTGGCGGAGGAAAGGTTTATTTTGACTCACGGTTGCAGGATTTCAATCCATTGTCCACTGGCTACACTGCTTTTAGCCCTGTGGCAGGACAGAACATCATGGTGAGAGTACAAAGTAACGCCAAGCTGCTCACTTCACGGTGACCAGGAGACAGAATAAGAGAAGAGAAGGCCAGGGCCCCGGCACTTCCTGTGACCTGACTTCTTTCCCCGAGACTCTGCCCACTAAATGTTTTGCCTCTTTAACACTGTGAGCTGGGGACCAGGTATTCAGTACGTGGGCCTTGGGGGACCCTGGAGATCCAGTCCATAAGAATACTGTATTGACTTGCAACCTGCTTTCGTCACTTAGCATCAGCATTATTTTATGTTCTGATGTGATCGTCATAGACTCTGTAATGGCAGCATAATGAAGAGAGGATGCCAGGCTTTTACGAAGAACATACAGAAAAGTAGACCTCTAGTCTCGCCTCTAGAGGTTCTGATTTAATGAGCCTTTGCATCTGTTGTTTTATTTTTAAAAATTGTATTAGTGCATGTGTGCAGTACATTTCACGTTCTGTGTGTGGAATTGGTGCAGGGACATAACACATCTTAATTACATAATTAATCTTCTTTCTCCCCGCTCCTTGGTGGCCTCTCCCCTTCTAGAGCAATGGACCTCCCTCTTCCTGTTACCTACCTTTGGTTTTGCTCTTTATTTTCACTTGGGTTTCTCATGTACGAGGGTTCATATGATACTGAAGTGTGTGTGTCTCACTTCATTAACATTATGGTCTCAAGATAAATCTGCTTTCCTGCAAGTGACTTACATTCATCTTTTGTTACAGTAGGTTTTTCTTGTTTAGAATTAAGTAGTTTATTTTTGGAGTGAGTGTGTGTGTGTGTGTGTGTGTGTGTGTGTGTGTGTAGTTAACCCAGGATCTCAGATAAGCTAGGCAAGTAAACGGCACTATAATGAGCATTGAGCCGTATTCCCAGGCCAAGAAGTATTTTTAAAAATACATAAAGTATAAAGATCACTTGATGAATATGCACACTCCCTGTGTTGTGTGTCTGTCCCAGAGCAGTGCCTTTGCTGGGTTACCTACCTCAAGATCTGATTGGAACATCAGTCCTAACATACTTGCACCCAGAAGATCGTCCTGTGATGGTTGCGATACATCAAAAGGGTAAGACTTCCCCTTGTAGAGGAGCAATGTGTTTTGCCCCTCATTTGTTCTAATTTTGTATTCATTTCTTTGTAAAGTTTGATCTTTAGCAGATAAGTAATGTGTTGAAGCTGCTAAAACGATTTTTTCTTAGCATGCTAAAACATTTAAAATACGTCATTTTAAAAGCACTGCTTGAAGATAACATTGAGGAATTATTACATGCAGACAGTAATTAAAAAAAAAAAAACAAGAAATGACCAACAGGGCTGGGGATTTGGCTCAGTGACACAGGTGCTGCCTGGCAAGCACAAGGTTGTGAGTTTGATCCCCGGTACCAAAAAAACCAAAAAAACAAAACAATCTAAAAACTCGGGTGCTGTTAAAAACTTAACAGAATTTTGATGTGAAAGGGGGCACTGAGGTCCAGATGAAAGGCAGAGAAGATCTGTTTGAAGAAATAACAGAAAACTTTCTAAATCTTGAAGTTGATATAGACATCGGGGATATAGGGGGCTTTAGAATTCCAGACAGGCACAACCAGCAGAAGACCTCCCCGTATCACATTTTAGTTAAAATAACATGAGTGCAGAATATGGAAGGAATCCTGAAAGCTGCAGGAGAAAAACCACCAAGTCACTTATAGAGGCAGACCCATCAGAATAACTCCATAGACTACTCTGCAGAAGCGCTAAAGGCCAGAAGGGTATGGAATGATAGATTTCAAAGCCCTGGGTGAAAAGAACTGTCAGCTGAGATTATTATATTCAGCAAAGCTATCCATAATTGAAGGAGAAATAAGAACCTTCCAAATAAGGGTAAACTAAAAAAGCCCTTGATCACTGAACCCACATTGCAGAAGATACTTAAAGGAATCCTACACAGGAAAAGGAGGCGTAGACAAGCTATTGAGAATTAGGGAAGAATAACCATTAGGTTGTATATACCTTTCTGAATGTAAATGTCTTACTCTTCTGTCTAAAGATGTACTGGCAGATTGGGTTACAAACACGGCACAGTTCTTTGCTGTCCTAAAATACCTCCAGTAGAAGCATGTGCAGATTGGAAGTGGAATGTGGTCAGCTGAGACACGGAGGACACCGCATGTTGGCAGAGGCGACCATCTGCAAGAAGATAAAACACACACAGGCACATACGGACCAAGCATTGGTATGCCTGACTTCAGAAAACAGATGTGGCCTGAAGTAATGACTGCATAGGACCCTGCAGTGATACCAGGTGACTTCAATACTCCCATGTCGCCAGCAGATAGGCAGTCCAAACAGAAAATCAGAGTTAAGCACCAATCAGATGGACTTAACAGGTGTCTGTAAAACACCCTTCTCAGGCAACTACGGAATATACGCTCTGCTCAGTGACTCTTGTTTGCATGTTCTCATAAACATATACTAGGCCACAAGGCAAACTTTAACAAGTACAAACAGACAAATCATTGCTTGCATCTTAGTAGATCACAATGTAATGAAACTAGAAACGAATAGCAAGAGAGTCAGTAGAAACTATTCAGCCATGTGGAGACTGAAAAATACACTTTTGAATGATCATTTGGTCACTGAAGAAATCAAGGAGGAAATTTTAAAGTTCTAAAATAAAATGGAAACAGCATAACAGAATCTCTGGGACAGAGCAAATGCAATTCTAAGGAAATTATAGCTGTAAGTGATTAAAATAATCAGATCTCACCTGAAAGTCTTACAAAAAGAACAAACCAAAACCAACTCTAATAAAACAACAAAGATCTAAGGGTGAGATCTGAAATTAGTAAGATAAAGATTAAAGGGACAATAGGATTGACGAAGCAGAAGGTTTTTGAAAAGATAAATACGATTGTGAAGCCATAGCCAGACCACCCAAAAAAAGGGAAAACCTAAATTGACAAAATCAGAGATGAGAAAGGGGATGTTAAAAGACATCCTGATGCCACTGAAATCCAGGGGATTTTTAGGAACTACTTTGAAAATCTATATTCTAGTAAATTGGAAAATATAGAAGAAACAGGTCAATTTCTGGACACCTGAAACTGGACCAAGAGGATTTTAAAAACTCAGACTAGTAACAAGCAGTAAACCGACATCAGTGCTCCTCAGACTACTGCATGAAATAGAAAAGGATGAAACACACAAATTCAGCATCACCTAGATACCAGCATTGAACAAGGACACAACAAAAAATTACAGACCAGTAACCGTGATGAACATTGGTGTAGAAGTCCTTAATAAACAAACAAACTGAGTTCAGCAAATTAAAAAGATCCTACACCATGGTCAAAATGGTTTCATAACTGTGACGCAAGGCTGCTTCACTGTAACAGATCAGTGAACACACCACATAAAGTTAACCAGGGAACTATTACACAATCATCTCATTTGATGCAGAAAAGCCTTTGAAAAAAAAAGTCAGCATCCTTTTATTGTAAAAGCCCTAAGGAATCTAGGTGATCAGTGAAGGACAATCTCAGTATATATTAAAGGCCATATACGACAGACTCAGCCAGCATCATTCTAAATAGCAAGGGTGTCTGCTCTTAGTACTTCTAGTCAATGTAGTTTTGAAGTTTTAAATAGAGCAACTGGGGAGGAGAAAAAGGGATACAAATTTTTTAAAAGTTAAGTTGTTCCTATTGGGAGATGACCTCCTAAGTTGATGGATTAGAAGAATTAACATTGTTAAAATGACCATATTACCAAAAGTGTAGATTAAACACAATCCCCATCAAAATACTAGGAATATTCTTCACAGAACTAGGAAAATTCGAAAATTACTGTGAGTTTTCAAACACAAAAGAAGCAAAACCATTAACCGTAAGCAAAAAGAACAAAGTCTAGAGACTTTATATATCCAGTTTTAAATTATAGTACAAAGTTGTAGTAACAAAAACAGCATGGTGCTTATGCAAAAGTGGATAAGTACACCAGCAGAACAGAATAGAGGACACAGAACCATACCTGAACAACTAGACTTAGCTGGTTCTGGACAGAGGAGCCAGAAGCACACATTGGAAGAGGCCGCTCCTGGAACAAAAAGTACAGAGGACTTCCTGACTGGGACTCCAGTGGCGTCGAAATAATAGCAGGAATCAACAAATGAGACGACATCGAATTAAAAAACTACTACACAGTAACAGAAACGGTGAAGATGCAGCCTGAAGAATGCGAGAAAAATCTTTGCCAGCTACTCTCCTAACAATATCTAGAGTATATATAGAACACAAAAAACTTCACACCAAAAAAATCAATAGGCGTGGTGGCACACTCCTGTAATCTCAGCACTGGGGAGGCTGAGGCAGGAAAATCATTTGCAAGTTCGAGATAAGCCTGGGCTACAAAGTGAGCCAAAGGCCAGCCTGAACTGCATAGAGACCCTGTCTCAAGACAGAGGAAAAAAAATCACGATGAATAAGTGGTCAGATGAACAGACACTTTGCAAAAGAAGTAGTATAAATCGCTGATATGAACATAGCCAACGTAATTAGCCACTAGGGAAATGCCAGATGCATTGAGATTCAGGCTCACCCCCAGTCACTGGCTCTCATCAGCACTAGGAAAGTGGGGCTGGGAGGAGCAGAGCTCACTACATAATGGCCTGCCGGGCCAGCGCGAGGTCGGGAGTTCCAACTCCGGTACACAGAGAAAAAGAAAATGCTGATGAGGATGCAGGGAAGAAGAACCCTCCTGAACTGCGGGGGAGTGTGAATTAGTGCGGCCACTGTGGGAGTCACAAAAGTAAACACAGGTCCCGTCTGGTGGAGCTTTCCCACCGTACGGTGTCTGCCCAAGGAAACTGACGTCAGCGTGCCATCCGTAGGGAGACCTGCATCCACCCGGACTTACCTTAGCACAGTTCGCGGTGACCGAGATACAGAACCAGCGTAGGTGGCATCAGGGATGGGTGGGCAGAGGAAATGAACACATGCACAGTAGAGTGTAAAGAGAGAAGAGATTTGCGTCCTGTACAAGAAAATGAGCAGTCACGCGTTTCCCCAATAAGTAGAATCTGAAGGAGGAAATAGAAACAGGAGCGAGGCGATTATTAAACAAAACAAGGGAACAGGAGGAGGGGCCGGTAACGGGGCATATGACCAAGACGCGTGCACTGACGTCCCCTCAAGTTGTGAAACTAGCACGGAGGGTGAAGATGCTCAGAGTCGCGCTGTGCGCCCGAGTGAGTGCCACAGTGAGAGCCGCTAATCTGTGTAGCCAGAAGGCGCCAGGAGGGACAATGTGGAAAGGACGACTCCGGGGAGACAGATCCAGGCGAAGAATGTTCATTGGGATTTACTTTATGCCGACCACCACACTAGCAGCTGGAGGTACTTAGGTACAGAAAGCCCTTGTGGACCTTGTTGCTGGGCAGACAAACCCATGTTTGTAATTCCATGGGAAAGTTAGTGGGATTCTGGTAAGTTCCAGGGCGCCTCAAGGTGAGTTAAAGACGTTAAGGCGTATTTGTAGTTGTGGGGAGCCCAGGAGGGCCTCAGCCCAGCTAGAACAGTGGCCAATGGAGCAAAGGCTGTTACCGGCCCAGCCGGGTCTTGTTAGTCCGTGCAGAGGGCCGTGGCTCGGGGATGAGGGACTGGGAGAGCCGTGAGCTGGCTGCACAGGAGCCTGAAGTCACCTAGCGACATGCAGAGAAAAGGATTCGCAGAGAGACACATCACAGGGCGGGGCGGTGTCTAGAGTTTTGGGGTTGGCGCTTTAGTTTTGATGTGTAATTTTTCAGAGCCTGGGACGTCAGAGCTGCATTTTTTTGAGGCTCATTCTCAGCTGCACAGTGTGGAGGCTCGGCCTAGCGCACAGCCCGTTTGGGAGCTCCAGGTGGGGCTCCCCTGACCTGCGGCATTGCTTTTACACTGCACGTCAGCACCCCCACGCTGGACCCATTTGCACTGCTTGAAGCCAGCTGAGGGGATAAAGATAAAAACCTGTCCACTCTGCACTTGTCCACACACGGGTACGGGGCCGGGGTTCGCCAAAGGGGAGACGCTCGTCTTCTCTCAAGGA